AAGGTTTAGATTTATCCAATGTCAAATAACATCCAAAAATTTAAATTACGGAATTAGAAGAATCTAATACTCATAACAATACCAATATCCAAGCTATGTGCTTTATAAACTTATAAGAAGGTGAGTGATGCAAAATAAACAACATAATCCATTTTTTCAAATAGTTTGTTCCAGATCATGAGAGGCAAGGAGAATCAGAAGGATCTCATACCTTAACAAATTAAAAGTAAATTTCTCCTAGTGAGTCTTTAGCTATAGATTTTTAAAGTTAAAGTAAAGGATAAATCTAGGGACAAATATGTTCATTAAATGCTAGGCTTAGTATAAAATCCACTCTTATAAAATTAATGTCACATGTGTTTTAAGTCATTCTTTGTTCTATTGTGCGTATGTGTTGCGGGGGAGGGGGGGAATCGATTTTTAAAGTTGAGATGGATTTTTTGTACCTCAAACTTGGAGGATATTTCCCAAATTAAAATAGTTGAGAGGGGACACTCTTTTCTCACTTAACCCCTCAAAACTAACACCGTTGAATCTAATCTGTAGTATCCCTCAATCATAAGAGAATTATCTTGGTTTCTTTTCTAAATGAAAAAAAAAAGAAGATATATAGAGGGAGAAAGCATCGTAAATTGGTTGGGGTCCTTCTATTATCGATTGAGGATTTATTTTTAACTAAAATGAGTTTTTTCCAAGAGGATATTTCATCCAAATTACATATTGAAGTAACAATGTCATTGGAGTTTGATAAGAGAAGTGTAAAAGGTCAGATGAGTATTCATGGGACACACCAAATGTTAAGGGTTTTTTCTAAAATTATTGTTAGACCAAAGCTTAGAGGTATTATCTACAACACCCCTTAGTTAAGGGGTTTTTTCAAATTAAATGAGTTTAGTGTGTATTCTGAGACAACCCCATGCATGATGTGTTTTTCAAAAGTTAACTCTTCTTTTAAATATGGCTTTTACTCATATATTTGTCCCTCAAATCTTTAATAATTCAATATTAGTCCCTAAAATTATGAGCAATTTTAAAATCTTTCTAGACTAATATAGAACTATTGAAGATTTAAAATCAATGAAGTAATATCTAAATAAGCTTTAAATATGTATTCTTATAGATTACTTATAGTTCTATAAGATGTCCTTATAGTTATACAAATTTGACAAGTGACATATAATATAACTAACTAATTAATTGATAATGATGATTAATTTAGTTTAGCTAGAATTGTAATGTAATATTTAAAAAAGAATAGGGGTCATATTGACTATAGAAAGTCTTTCTACAACTCCCACATTTAAAGAGGGTGTAACATGATGTATTCTGAGACAACCCCCATACTTGATGGGTTTTCAAAAATTAACCATTCTTTTAAATATGGCTTATTTATATATTTAGACCTCAAATTTTTAATAATACAATATTAGTCCCTAAATTATGAGCAATTTCAAAACTTTTAAGGAATAATATAGAACTATTGAAGATTTAAAATCAAGTGAGTAATATCTAAATAACCTTTAACTATTTATTCTTATGGGTTACTTATAGTTCTATAAGATGTCCTTAGTTATACAAATTTAACAAGTGTCATATAATATAACTAAGTACTTGATTAAAAATAATAATTAATTTAGTTTAGTTATGATTAGTATGTAATATTTAAAGGAAGAAAACATATCAATGAGAGGAAAATAATTCTCCATCACAAGACTAAATCTCGCACGATCTACCACCCGTCGGCGTAGGCTTCTTGCTACTTCAATGTTGTCCGCGTCTCGAGACCAAGCCACCCGAAAACCCAATGACCTCGCCATTGAAGAGCCCACGAAAAGTAACACGTACGAGTCTCGGCGATGTCCGGAGCCGCCTCGGGATTAGCCCACACACCTGCATGACATCCACAAAATGTTGCACATAACATGGAGGCCTTTCCGGAGGACGAAGAGGATGGTGCTTCCTTTGTTTTGCTGCTTCTTTAAACAAAACAAAACATAAGACGTAGTTTAAGTTTTTCGCTTGTATTGAAAGACTTATTAGTTGTTGTTTTTTAACAAACATTCGGATTATGTAGTTATATGTCATAATTATAAAGGAAACGTTTTTCAAAATATGAATTTAAAAACTAAAGAAAATGAACATTTTTTGCCAAATGGAATTATGCTTGAACTCTCAATGAAATAATTTATTACTGATTGACTATATAATATTCATCAAATAAAATTATTTTAGTATTAATTGATAAGCATCAAATGAGTGCTCAAAAGATATTCGTGCATGGGTTCAAACTCAAAGAGTTCACATAAGGGATTCAAATTTCTATCCAAATTTGAAGACTAAGGGGTGTTTGACAACTTTGTAAAATTAGGTCAGGACTGAACCTGACTCAATTTTGTGTTGTTTCTTATCTGTCAAAATTATGGGCTAGATCTGACCCTATTTTTTGTGCCCAAATAGTTTTGTTTTGAACCAGACCCCCCTAGTCCAAAACAAAACCAGTTTAGCACAAAAGTGAGCCAAGATTGGTCCTAGCCTAGTTTTGCTTCGTTTGCCAAACTGACGCTTTGTTTAGCAATCCAACAAAAATAAGGTCAAACTTGTATTATTTTTTAACCAGTCCAGAGTTGATCTAAGGTAGGAGCTAGATTAACTCCGGCCTAGTTTTAGGGCTAAAAATGAACTAGAAAAAGCTGGGCCAAAGTTGACCCAATTTTTTTCAAACACAAAATAGATCAAAATTAGGTTAGGTTTGAACCTGACCTAGCTTTAGTGGGTTGCCAAATAGCCCCATAGGTTGTGTTTGCACATGAGTAGTTGAAGTTTGTTGTTGCTCCAACTACATTTAAATTTTTACACTAGTTTTTTGTGATTGGATGTTCTTTCAGCACCTTCAATTTAAAGGCAACAACATGATTGGAACTATATGATGTTGTAAAAGTTTTTGTTGCAGCAACTATTTATCGAAACACATGTTATTATCTTCATTTAGTATTGTTTATTATTATCTTCATTTAGAGCCTGTTTGGCAACCTGATAGAAATCAAACCAACTTTTCCCAAACATAAAACTATTCTAAAACTGGACCAAATTTGAACCTAAACCAGTTTTAATGGTTTGCCAAACAGGCCCAAGAGCGTGTTTGGTAACTTCAAAAAGAAACTAGGCGTCTAGTTTTTTCTAACTAGGCTAAAGTTAGTCCAAGCAGAGAGTGGTTCAAAAAAACCTAGTTTAAAGCTTAAATTTTGAACTAAAAAAATTGTTCAACTTTGGCCTCATCATCGCCAAACTAAAAACTATACCATAGTGTTTTTCTTGTTCTGTTTTTATAAAAAAAACACTATGATGCAGTGTTTTTCCCTTAAAATATTTTCAAAACACAATGTTAAGTATTTTTGGTTAACACTAGTTTGACACATTATAACATTAGTATTAAACATATTATTAATATATTATATATTAATTATAATAAAATATATTATAAATAAAATGTTATAATATTTAGTTTACATTATTATAGTTTTATAAGTATTAAATATTATACAATATAATATTATCTATGTATCCATAATTTATATTGTACTTAATGGTTATATTATATTATATTATTCGTACATAGTTATTTTGTAAATAAATTATATATTTAATTATTGGTATATCAATTTGTTTATTGTTGTATATTATATTAATATTTTTATAATAATTTATTTATATTGAATATAATATTATACTATTATTCATTTATATAATATTATTAATAATGTTAATATTAGTATTCTAGTATGTTATTAATATATTATAATTTTTAATATTATATAATATATTATCGCTTTGGTAATGATGTTGGAGTTTATTAATAGTACTTAATAATTATATTATTTTATTTTATATATTTATTATAATGTTGAATATTATGTTAATTACTAGTTATGATTATGAATATATTATAAATATTTTAAATATTATTAATTATATTATAGTTTTTAAATGTAAGAGTTTATCTAATAGTCACTTTACATAATATATTATATATTCTGATATTCATAAATACTCGATATTCATGGAACTATATTATTTTTACCATTAAAGCATGTTGTTAGCAGAAAATTGATCTTTCTTATTAAAATACTTTTACTTTGGTATTAAATTATATTCTTTTATTAAAATATATAATTAATATGTATATTATATGGTATATTTACTATAAATACTGTTATTATAAATATTATTACTATATTGTTATGTTATTATTGTAATATCGGTTATATTAATAATACTTGTATATTATTAATTTATGTACCAATTTCGTATTTATAAAGAATAATATTATAACAATTCATAAATATTGTAATTGATATATATTATGATCTTATATATATCTCGCATTATATCTCTAATTTATTCTCAAATAACTTTTTCTTATTGATTTTTATGATTTTATTATTATTATTTATTATATAATACATTATTAACATATTATATATTAGTATTTAATATACTATAATATAGTATAATATAATAAGCATGTTGATAATAACTACATATTAATATATTATGTTAGATATTATATTAACACATTCTCAAACTCAAAACCGAAACACCAAACTTAAAACACCTAAAAGGTGTTTTGAAATAAGTGTTTTGTTTTTGGTTTGAGGATGATTTAGCTCAAAAACACCATGGTTTCCAAACGCATGGTGTATTATTTTTAGTAAAAACACCATGGAAACAAGTAAAACACCTTGGTATCCAAACGAAGCCTAACTTTCAGACCAAAGTTGTACCCACTAAAACTAGCTTTGTTGCTACTATCCAAGTTAGTGGAGCTAGTCTAGTTAATGGGTTGAATTGTTGTTTGAGTAAAATCACACCAACTTCAAACTCAGTTTTCTTAGTTCAAATTGAGACCCTTATCCAGATTAGGATCGAACCACAACCACCCCTACTTGAATCAAAACTAACCTAGTTAAGATATTAACCAAGTTAGTGAAGAGTAGCCAAACTCCACCCAAGAGTCTTAACAGAGTACATTAGAAAAGGCCAACCCTGTTACATTCATAAAAACAAAATAAGAGTTAACAATTAAATACAAACAGAATCAACAAAAACACAGAATACAGCGTCATAGGGGAAAAAAGAACTTAACAAACAACTATGGATTCCAAGATGAACACCTGACGAACTCCAAAGCGCTCCAGCCTTTATTACAAAGGGACTTACTGATGGTCTCAAATCTTATTTAACCTCCATAGTTTACAATATGATCATGTAAACTAAACCTTCCACCCATAAATCTGTAGACATAGAGCCATAATACCCAATACAACACATGATTCAATCCAAGCTCATGTTTTCCTTTTCACCGGTGACAATCTAAAAACTCCGCATTGTCTATTAACCGAAGGCCTAGGAACTGCCATCTCCCCAAACATTGTCCCATGAACCACTGGGAGCTTTTGGCCCTTCGATATACTGCTGGGCTTGTCCATCTGGGCCAGGAAGTTCACCTGGAGCCCGTTGTGGATTCCTTCTCGACTTAGTTCTGATCCCAAGTAATCTAAATACAAACCTTGCTAACTCACCATATAACATTCCCGATCGATCAAAAAGCTGTGAATAAAAGATTTAATGGTAAGGAGACCGAAAAATGCAAATGAAGGGGATTAAAGAGTTAATTGCACATATACCCCATGTAGTTTCGCTGTTTTCAACTTACTACCCCCATAGTTTCATTGTTGCAGAAGGACCCCCCAGCCCCAGCCCCAGCCCCAGCCCACCCCTCTCCCGAGGTTAAAACTATTTTGACAGTTTCACCCTGAAATGGACTCACTAATTTCACCCAGGGCAATATCTGACAAAATTTTATGAAGGGTAAAGGAGGCAAAAAAAAAAGTTTACCCAGGATAAATGAGGCAAACAAATTTACCCAGGTGTCTATCCGCGACAATGAAACTACAGGGGTAGTACGTGCAAACCAACGACACTACAGGAGGTCTATGTGAAATAAACCAAATTTAAAGGGGAAGAGCACTCGCCTGAAGGAGAGCTGACATGAACATGTGGAAGGCTTGAGTGTTCTGATCGATGAGAACTGAGATCCGACCAAAGAAGTTTACAACCCCATGCATCTGCAATCAAGTGTATTGAACCTTAAGATGATAAACAAAACCAAGAATAGCATCAAACAATTTTTTGGGAAATTGAACTTTTATTGGTCAACAACATCCAGCACACGAGTCAAGGGGACTTTGCATCGAGGTGAAAATGAAACAACAGCCTTCAATGTTTGTTGCCTTTATACATATTAACATTATGAAAAATATCCCAATTGGAGGTGCCTTCGGTTCCAAGTTCTGTGCTTCATATGGAAAAAGAACCACTATGGCAAGGAATTAGAAGCCATTTTGGTGAAGGCCAACACCGCACAACTACAGGGATGAATTATATTGTAATCTAGAATTAGCTAAATGAATTCTTCTCTTCACATAGCTCTGTTACTGTTTCTTTGCTAAATCAACAACTCCCACGTCCTCTTTGCAGTCCCAGTTCATGGTTAAGTAGCCAAGCTAAGGCTGAAAACTGTAAGCAGGCTGAATAAGCTTTCAGCATCAAATATTTCACTCCAGTATATTTGCAAAATTGTAGCTAAAATTGGGTACAAATAGTGCACAACCTATCTTATGACGGTTATGATCAATGACACATGCTTTTACTTCCTCACCAGAGAACTTTTGGCCAAACTGCATGGGAAAATACAGTAGCAACATTTTTACATATGTAAGAAAAGACTGAAATTGTCACAACATCATCATTTAGCTGCACTAATATTATGGACATGTTCCTTAATTGTCTAACAGATAATTATTGGTGGCTGTATTCTAGTCTCGCAAAATCGTCCATTCCTCTCCATGGGTTGTCTATCCTGGCTTCAATTAATGGATGGATAATCCATAAGTACTTTCACATAATTATCCTGCTTTTTGTCAAAGGGACATCTTCATCAATTCCTATCAGGATGAATACAGTGATCAAATAGTCAATCATTGGTATTAATGGACATCAATGTGAACCATAACGTCATTCTTCTCATAGTTAATAAATAGTTATATTCAATATATTTGGATTCAACTATAAAGTTCCAATGCTTCCCTCCACCTTCCCATGTTAGAAATTGCCCTTTCACTGGCTTATTAGCTAGAATATTTGGAGCCCACTAGCAATGAACCCAATCAAAGAGAAGTTTTGATTTCAAAGTCTATAATTTATCCTTATACTAAATACAAAAATACATGAACTCCAAAGTTCAAAACATCCAGAATTGTTCTGAAGCAGCTAACATACTTTGCACATAAAAAATGTATATGCAATACAAAGAGATCATCAAAGTCATAAGATAGCAAAGAAAATAAATAATGTTTGACTTACCACACGAAGAAAGGACATCCAGAAACCAGGAGGAGATGGAGGAGCACCAAATGGATCGTTTGGATCCTGATTGCCATAAGGACCTGGACCTCCCATGCCCATTCCATAACCTCCCATTTGACCTCCAAATCCACTATTATACATGCCTCCTCCATACATTCCTGACCCTCCATAAAGCCCTCCCCCATACCCACCTCCATACATGCTGTTACTACCATAAAGCCCACCTCCATATAAGCTTCCTCCAGACCCCCCATATGATGAGCTATTATACATGCCTGAGCCATAGCCTGAATTGTAGTTCATATTTGAACCATATCCTGAAAGCAGTGAAAGAGCTTAGAACCTGAACAAAAAATGAACTTCAGCAAGAAATATCATAGTTAAAGGATACCTCCATAGCTGTTTCCATAGTTCTGCTGCTGTTGCCAAGGTCTTGCGGGTACCGGTCTTGCAAGAGGGGTTATGTTCGCAGTTGTATTAACAGTTGAAACAACTTCACCGGGTTTTGCTGTTCCTGAGGCTTCTACAACTTCACTTGTGTTTCCTGAAGACGGGGGTTTGAAAGGTGCAGGACCAGATGATGTCCCAGCTCTCTCCCAAGGTTTTGGTGGTGGAGTATTTCCTGCAGTTTGCATAATTTATCCATAGATTAACAGCTGACTAATAACTGGAGCGCATTTAAGAAAATTATGATGTTCACCAACATCAACTGGTCAGTATTAACAATAGCAGGTGTCAACACAGAATGTAATTAGCAGATGCAATAAAACCAATAACAAATAACCATCCAGCCTTTTTTAAATCCTCTTCCCCCATTTGTTTCATTCAGGAGTATAGAATGCAAAACGATAAACTAGAAAGTAATGGAAGAGGGCTTGTACAATCCAGCTATCAGCGGCATGGGGAAATGCATCCAAGGTCTCTGAATGTAGTGTATTTTAACCATTTTATTGATAATGGACTCTTACAAAGCAATAACTGTATCAACCAAGCTGTATCCCATTTAGACTTCAGAAGAAACCAAATAGTTTGTACAGAAAATTAGCACATATGGATTTAAGTTACCTCAATAACAACACATGAACTTCATAAAGGTCATTAGCATAGTCTTAGTATAATCTTAGCAACACGGCATAGATACTTCAATCAGGAAAGGGCTGACTACGTATTCCTATGATCATCCTAAATTTGTAACATATGTTCATCATATGTAACCCTCCAACACATGTGTAGCCTCTTCCTCCGCAAAGTAATTGAAGCAGCCGACAAAACCTATCAAATTCTCTGACTTTACTCGAAGAACCACTACATTAACCTTAGAACTAAAAACGTCTAAAATGCCTAATCAGGTTTCCCTCCTATGCTTCCAAGATTTACCAGGAAAATTTCAAATTTTCATATGCAAGTTTCAGCAATATTTAAATCTAGATATATTCAAAACCTTCTGAACTAAACGTATGTGTGATTTAAATCATGCAATGACTGTTGACATGATTTGCAATGCATGTAGCATCTGATGCCACTCCAAATGGCCCAATTCAAACTGGATCTTACATTCCGTCAACACGTTTCAATCAAAATCCATAACCGTTCATAATGCCCTTAAAAATCAGAAACAATCATTGAACTAGGAAGCCAACCACTAAATTTTAGTTTTAATTGACATCAGTTACTTAGACTCCCATCCTTCTACACCAAACATATAGTTAGAAGAATGAATCAGTACTCCCCAAAGCAAGTTCAATGATTAGTAGGATTGTAATGATTTGGAGGCCAGCGAGCCTTGCCGCCGATAAAGATTACACCTTTTACTGCAAATTGTCAATATATATCACGTAATACCACATAAAATAGTGTGTTGATATGATATTTATGCATAACCAATACAAGCTCGTCATGAAAACAGAAATATAAATCAAATATTGCTCCTTTACCCCCAAATTCATGACCAAAACAGTTAATTTTAACATACAAAACACATCCGATCGTCTAAATTCAGCAAACTAAAACCCCCTCCCTTAAAAACCCTAGCATGAATCAAAATCGGGTAAATCCCAAAACAGAACTCAGACCAACGAAACAGAATGAAAATTCATAAAAAAAAGAACGATAAATCCACAGAATTATTCGATAGAAAACACTCCGGATCTTCAGAATTCGGACCCAATAAGCTCAATCCTCAACGAGCAATTCATAAAGAGAGAGGAATTTAGAGATCGAACCTGAATTAGGCGGATTAGATCCCATAGCAGTAGAATCGAGAGATAGAGAATCAAGCTACATGCAAAGGGCTTCGCCCTTTTCGATAAGCTCCTTTCCCTTCTCTCTCTCTCTCTCTCTCTCTCTCTCTCTTTTATTTCTATATTCTATTTTTTCAGTTGAGGAAGACGACGAGAAAACGGTGAATCGCTTCGCCTTACCAAGGAAATAATGATACGAAAATAATATATAAAAAAAGAGATATTCTTGAAAAAAAAATACGGTGTCTGTCTAATGGCCCCGGTTGATGGGGATAGAGAAGCGAAGAGGAAAAGAAATTTTAGTTTACTTTTATTTGGACGGAGAGAGAAGGGAAGGGCTAAAGAAATTTTAGTTTATTTTTGTCTGTGAGTTCTATTTAGGAGAGTAAAAGAGGCAAATGAGGAAGAAAATTGAACTAAAATCTTAACTTTTAAATTGGGGGTAAAAAGGAGAATGTAAGAAAGGGAGGAAAAATTTTCCTCCCAAACACACCATGAATTTGACCGACCTTAGCTGGACTTGCTCTTGACGATTCGGTTCCGTATTATTTATGGACCGCGTCATTTGACTGAAACCGCGCGGGTGAAAATAATAAAGGTTAAAATTTGATAAATTTACTATCAAAAAAGTGTAGATTAAACAAAACACCCAAGAATTTTCAGCGTTTTTAAGTGAACCCTCGGTATCTTTCAAAACTACAGTAAACCCATAATACCTTCTGCCATAATACCTTCATGAGTCATGACAATTGGTCATATTGCATTTGCACCTCTCTTAATGACATTAGTAAGACTAATTGGGTCATATATCAAGAGCCAATTATAAATCAAATTAATAATTTTAATTTAACAGTCAAATCCTAATTCGACCAACTATTCGTAAAAACTCGCTTGTGATATGGGATTAATGATCAATAAATTTTATATATTCAATCCGTTATAATATTATTTATTTTAGACAACTTTATCGAGCAAGATAGTTCACCTAATTATTCATACCTAAATTGCAATCCTCATGAATATAAACAAAAATTATTTTGAAATATCAACATATTTTATCTCATAAGAAAATAAAATTTAAATTTTTTTTTTTTTGAAATCACCTACCGACGAAGTTTTAATAACTTCATGGAACATGCATAATAAATTAACTCTTTATAATGAGCATATTTGATGGTATTTAGATACTTATTATTTTACTAAATAAAATCTAGCAACCCAACATTTCAAATTGTCTAGTACCTGCTAAACAAGCTTAACCATCATATCAAAGTATATTAAATTATTAAATCAGAAATGATAATATTATCAAGTCAAATGAACTATATGACAATAGGAATTCTCTATCTCTTAGACAACTCATCCTACATAATCCAAATGCAGTCTAGTGCTACACACGTCACAATATATGCTTATAACATACACTCAGAAAATTCTTATTCCCGGTAGTTGAGACCCACCACCACATCTCATATGTCAATGTCGTGTATAAGAACCTGCTATAAAAATGTTATCATTTCCTAGTTAAAGATTAAACACAATTTTAAGAAATCTCTAAGTTAGATCATATCTACTAAGCAAATGACTATAATAATGCAAGATGTAACAAAATAATTTATAAGGATAATATAACAATTATATAAACAATTCCCAAATTATATGCACAACAATAACATCTATTAATAATTCAAGAATAATACATAATTTGCATTAGATTTATAAGGGCATATAATGATACTCTAGCACTAATTTGTGAGGGATATCTACAAGATGCGAAAATGTATAACGGTTTTCTACAAATTGCAAAAGTCATTAGGTGATTAGTGCAACTATGAAAGGGGTTTTACTACAAAGCACTTAAAAGCTCTTGAGGGTTTAGTCTAATTCACCCATTAAAAAATTATACAAACTTTTTTAACATTTGGCGAAAATAAAAAATAATCAAGCAATGAAGAAGATACAGTGTGTTAATTTTAATGATTTGTCTAATCAAGATTAATTAAAGACCATTTTCTTATAATTTAAAATTCGAAGAATTCTTGCTCATAATTTGCATGATTGGAGGCTTTGGAGTTAGTATAATCCCCATCCCTTTCCAATTGAAATTAATCCAAAATTTAATTGTAACTTGTATTTTCAATCAAACCCAACTTTCAATCAGAAAATGGAATTAATAATTTTTCTATAATTATATAAAGGATTAATTATGAGTAGACTCATTGTAGTTCTGATCATCATATTTTATTACACTTTTGTAATCTCATTATCTATTTGATTTGAATAAATGTATACGCTAATAACGTTTTTTTAAATTAATGTGCGGATAATAAAGAAATATTGAATATGAGCTTAAAGAAACCATTTTCCCTTGTTTTTCTAGCCCAAATTAAAGTCTAGAGGAAGCCCAAGAAATGTCAAGTTAATAAGTCAACACAAGAAAATAAATTATGTCACAACCTAATTCATGAACTAATTGATTAGCTAATCAATTAGCTAATCAATTAATTTGTAATAGATTTTCATCAATGGCTAATTTTTATTTTCTTGGAGCCCAAGTTTGATCCAAGAGCTATTGTTCATAGTTGTAGGCTATAAACAGGGTGGAGAGTGAGGGGTTTGGAGGTGAAATATTTTGTAAACTTCATTTTAGAGAGGAAGATCACTCTTAATTAAGGAAACGTTCGCAATTATAAATTTTTTATTTGCAATAAATAAAAAAATTATCTTTTTCCATTTTCTTTCTTCTTCTCCCTTAGCGATGAAAATTTTCTCAAGGGGCTAACCCCTTAGGCCCCCCGTTTGATAAAGGGTTAAGGAAAAAGGATTAAGGATAAATATTAACGTAGTTAGTCCATTCGATAACCCGAATGACTAAATTATTAAATCGTTAAATTTAAACCATTATGATCAATTTTAATGTTTGAGAATAACGAGAATTTTGACTATTTTCTTTATAAATAGAGGGGTTAAGTGATGTAGGACGCTTAATCTGAGTTGGAGTCTATTTAGATTAGGAAATATAGATTAGAAAATAAATTTAATTTTAGAGTCAAATTAGATTAGGAAACAAAATCAATTTTGATTCATGATTTGTTTCCTCTATTATAAGGAGTCTTTTTATGATAGAATTTGATACTTTCTCTTTTTTGTAATTCTAGTCTTACTAGGAGTCTTATTTGATACTTTCTATTTTTGTAATTCTAGTCTTACTAGGAGTCTTATTTGTTTTTCTATTTAAGAAGAGTCATGTAACCCCAAAGGAGAATAACTTTTGATTAATAAAATTTCGTTTTTCCTCAATATTTCTTTGTGGATTCGAAGCTCTTCGTGGATTCGAAGATCGTTCTTTGTGGATTCAGAGAACACCATTGGTGGATTCCGAGGTTACAACTTTCGCGCTGCGTCAATTGGTATCAGAGCCTTGTTCCTCCGATCCAATAGCAGGTGATGAAACCCATATTTCTCGAACTGAGTTCGACGTGCTGAAGACCGGTGTTAATCAGATGAAGACTGACGTAGAGCGACTTGCGTCGGCAGTGGAGTGTCTGAACACGGTAGGAGTTCAAAATCGCGTTGATGGTCGCCAACGACGTGATCCGACTCCATATGATAAATTGAACAACGACAATGATCTTAAGCAAGACATAAGAGTTGGGAAGAACAGTGAAGAAGTAATAAAGAAAGAAGAACCACCTCCAGAGCATAATATCTTTCGTACGAGATGTATCGTGATGCAGAAGATTTGTAATGTTATTATTGACAGTCACAGTGGAAGGAATCTTGTCTCTCGGCGTATGGTGAATAAGTTAGGTTTGAAGACAGAGAAACACCCACCTCTTGTTAAGATCGACTAGATTCACAAGGGCAATGATGTGCAGAACGATGAAGTGTGTTGGGTATCTTTTTCTATTGGTCGAACTTATTTTGATGAAGTTTTGTGTGATGTTGTCGAGATGGATACTTCTCATATGCTTTTAGGTAGGCCATGGCAATTCAATAATGGAGCTACTCATAAGAGTAGAGACAATGTTTATATCTTCAAGAAAGATGGACGACGAATTATGCTCAAGCCTCTTACAGAAAAGGAGCCATATAAGATAAAGACTATTGAGAAGAAGGAACTATTGGTGACAAATAACAATGCTTTAACAGAAAACTTGAAGCAATCTGAAGAGGTCTATGACTTGGTTGTAACTGAAAAAGAAGAACATGCCTCTACCGAAATTCCTCCTAAGGTGCAAACACTCGATATGCATGAAATGCATGATGGTGATATGATAGTGAAGATGGATAATATGCATGATATTCTTAAAGTGGTTGAGAGTGATATTCAACATATTGATGTTGTCCCGATAGAGGAGAAGGATAAAATAGAGAGTGAGATAATTGATGATATGTGTGAATTTCTTGGTGGAGGGCTCGAGGCAAAGAAGATGAAAGAATTATGTATGGAGTATGAGGGAGAAAATTCTTTTTTGGAAGCAATGATCATCAATAATTTCAACAACAATGAGATGATACCGCCGACACTAGAATATAGGAAGCAACATGGAATATATTTAGAAGAGTTTTTCATACCAACTACAGAGCCACATGTTGCCAATTACATACACATGTCATGGGAAAGATTCATACATGAGTTTTATACAGAAGAAGCCCTAGCAGAGGAGACAAAACAACATATGGAGAAAATCAACGCTAAATATAAGGCAGATGCAGATCATTGCAAGAGAAGAAAATTATTTATCAATGAAGCTACATTTCTAACAAATAAAAGCTCGAGGTCGAGCTTCTTTCAACAAGAGGAGACTGATGTAGGACGCTTAATCTGAGTTGGAGTCTATTTAGATTAGGAAATATAGATTAGAAAATAAATTTAATTTTAGAGTCAAATTAGATTAGGAAACAAAATCAATTTTGATTCATGATTTGTTTCCTCTATTATAAGGAGTCTTTTTAGGATAGAATTTGATACTTTCTTTTTTTTTTTTGTAATTCTAGCTAGTCTTACTAGGAGTCTTATTTGATACTTTCTATTTTTGTAATTCTAGTCTTACTAGGAGTCTTATTTGTTTTTCTATTTAAGAAGAGTCATGTAACCCCAAAGGAGAATAACTTTTGATTAATAAAATTTCGTTTTTCCTCAATATTTCTTCGTAGATTCGAAGCTCTTCGTGGATTCGAAGATCGTTCTTTGTGGATTCAGAGAACACCCTTGGTGGATTCCGAGGTTACAACTTCCGCGCTTCGTCATTAAGTCTTAATCCTTCTAAATAGGAGTATTAGTAAACTCTCATTTTGAGGGTTAACTTATTTTAATCCCTCTAGAGGAGTTAACTTCCCTCTAGAGGGGTTAACTTAACCCTTATGTATTTTTGCGTTTAGCAAATTATGGAGGGTTAACTCACTTTAATCCTTGTATAAATTTTTCGATGTTTGGATGGTTACGAAAAGGTTAAGTCTAATTAACCCTTCACTTAACTAGTTCTATTTGTAAACAACACCCTTTCAGATCATTAAAGTGTTTTAAATCCTTATGATACTCAATTACAATTTTCCAAAAAACAAATGATACTTCGTTACAAGCATATTTTCTACCGTATTTTATGCATTTTGTTTTCGATAATTGACTTGAAAACTATTGGGACAAGTGATATTATTGAATTATCAAGCCTTCATGAATATTTGCGGGGTTTTAATAATAAATCCCTCCTTATATGATATCCTATTAAGGGCTCTTCTAAAGAGTTTGTTTCCCACATAAATGATGATGAAATTGATGGTCGAGATTGTGGTTTTTTAGCATAAGCGTCTTAGACTTCAAAAAAAGAATAAAATAAAATAAAAAGGGGAAAAAAACCTAAATTGTGTCTTTATAGAAAATTGAATAGAAAGTATAAGAAGCATATACATGTGCCAACATCATTTTTAAAGTTGGATCATTTTTAAAGTTGGCAATTGCATCATTCCTATATCGTTTACAGCAATTTAGTATTTTGGTTGCATTTAGTTTTAACTACTTGCACTGATTATATTATTTATGCTATCTTTTTCATTGTATATACTGATGTAAATTTTGTAGTGACACATGTATCATCTTCTTTTACAGAATGCCCCAATAAGGGGCTGTTTGGATTGATTTTTTAGATAGGTAAAAGGGTGGAAAGCTGCCAAAAATATCACATTTTTGGCAGCTTTCTCCCAAAATCACCTTTTATAAATGTGATTTTGGGGAAAAGCTGCCAAAAAGCTGATATTTTTGGCAGCTTTCCACCCTTATACCTATCTAAAAAATCAATCCAAACAGCCCCTAAGAGATTGCCCCTGTGTAGATTTGCGTTTTCCCCCCATATCATTCCCATGACTCTTCATAATTTGAAATTAGTCCCTTGAATCATTGAACCTGCCATTAGGCCTTCAAATTTTAAATTATTCTAATTGTACATTCTATTATTGAATAGAGGTTCTAATTTCAAAATAACTTATGGATTCGAGGACTAAATGGCAATTTCAAGGATCTGAGGGACTGAGTTTAAATACGAAAGTTTAAGTGGCCAATACCTTAAAAAACCTTATTTTTTCCGATTTCGTGTGAATTTTCTGTACGAAATATGGCCCTGTAGGCAAGCCCAAAACTCAACATAAATGGGCTACGGTCTAGATTGGGCCTACAAAAGTACACCTTTAGTAGAACTTTCCAGAAATATATTCGGCCCCACACACTTTCAGGCAACCCAACGCAGACCAACCCGATTCGCTCTCCTAAATTACGAGAACACCCCTGTCTCCTCCAGCTCTAGTAAATCGTCTGTTGCTTCCCTCGAGACTCAAACGCCATTTCCCGTCTCAGAGCAAGCTAGGGTGAGATTAATCTCTCTCTCTCTCTCTCTCTCTCTCTCTCTCTCTCTCTCTCTCTTTTTAAATATGTAATTATTCTCTTCTTGATGATCTGCGCCCTAATTTATTTCCTTATTTTTTTTTCTTTTTTCCCCCGAGATCATTTGTGAACATCTAGGGTTTGAATCATCGATCATTTATTTCTTGATTTTGATGATTACCTTTCTGTGGCTTTGAATCTTGAATTACGATCAGACGCTTAGTAACAAAATATGATGATGTTAAAAGACGATGATATCAATTTCATACTGAATTCATCTTCTTAACCTAGTCGAGATAATGCTGTTGTTAATCAGAGAATTGAGAGATGAAAAGTTCTTGTTGATCTGCGATCAATTGATGACTGAATTCTTGCATTTATTAGTTTTGTATGTATACAAGTATTGATTTTGATAATTTAGTTTAGAAATTGACGTCGAAGATGAAAATCATTTGGACAGTTTTTAGTAGCCTGGTTGAGACGAAAATCTTGATTATGATCTATCTCTTATGTGCTTGACCTAGTCGAGATATTGTATTGTCAATCAAGTAAATGTAGTTTTTTTTATTAGCGATCAATCAATGAATGAGCATCACACTGAATTAATCTACTAACCTAGTCGAGATACTATAGTGTTAATCAAGTAACAGAAGATGACAATTTTTTTGATCAGCAATCAACTGATGAAAAAGTACTTACATTTGTTGCCTTTGTATACAAGTGTGTAGTTCTTACATATATTGCTTCTGTATATAAGTGTGTTGATTTTAATAATTTACTTTGGAATTTGACGCTCGAGATGAAAATCTTAGGAGAGCTGAAATTTGTACTGTTGGTTGCCACTTTCAGTGGTCTGTCAAAGACAAAAATGTTGACTACATCTTATGTGCTTAACACCATAAAACTAGTTATATGCACTCATGCTTATTTTACACTTGGAAAGAATCATAATCATATAGTGAAAAAGAATGTAGATGAGAGGATCTGGATTCCTATTTTAGCAAATGATAGTTCGAAACTTGATGGAGGATGTGAATATGCATCATGAGTTATATAATTTTATAAGTTAATAGCCATTACTTTACCCTGGCCATTCTTTTCAAACGATGTGGTGATTTTTAATAAAGCATGAAGTAAGGTTCCCAAGTATACATAGTTGAGTAGAAGTTGATCTTTTATTGTGGAAGCTTAGCAACTGTTTTGTTAGAGGAAGAGGAAGAGGGAGTTGGATATTGAGGTTACTCTGATGAGCAATTATTGGCAAGGCTTGCCATCTCATGTAGGAAATCTTGATTAATGAAAAAGTCATACCACTACCTCCTTGAGTCATGCTAGACTGTTGGACCTCCCGATAGTAAACAATGACATTAAGATTTTATAGGAATGTAATACCCAATTTTCTATGTATGAATTGGATATCGATGCAACAGTTCTTCTGGAAGTTAGGAAATGAACCTCTTTATGCTTTATTCTGTTCTGGTATATTTGATCTGATAAGCACATCTACTTTGCATTCTCATTGTTTTTGTAGAATTATGGGATTGAACAATTGCCATGACTACAGTTTTATATTAATAAACTATATGTTTGATACTTCAGTGTCTTTGCAATGCTTTTTATTGAAAATTGCATTTGATGACAATAATTCCCCAAAAATGCTCACTAGATGGTTGGATAGGCATTAAAAATAATAATATTTTGCATGGAAACCATAGTCATTAGCTCTGCTTTTGGTTACGACATTTTTGATGATACGTGATATCCATTGTGTAATTATTACTGTTTCAAACCTTTTCAGAAAATATAAAATCTTTACCTATATTAAGGGTATCTGGACATTGGTTTCTAATGCTTTTCTCTCAATGTTTTCATGTTTGGACAAATTCTAAATGTGGTATATAGTGTGTTCATTATACGTGTTGTGTTGGAGTTAACATTATCACCCTCAACCCTCACCGTGACTTTGGACTTGTGTCGTGTAATGAACTTTAAGCACTAAGGAGAATATGGTCAGGCCACGCAGGCGTCTTATGAGTTGTTTAGCTGAACTTTTATATCCATCTGCAAGATTCCAGCAATAATGGTATATATAGGCGTTCTGGATCTACAATAATAGATCAACTTTATATGTTGTTTACATTGTTTCATTTTCAAACATTATCAATATCAACACATGTGAAACTTAATGGCTATATGAGTGCCTTAAGTTTAGTATTCTGGACCATTGACACGGTCATAAATATGCAATTATATTTTCTTTAGATACCTGGCCAATTATCTTGTATGTCAAATGGTTGAACGAAAGCAGTGTCACATGTGAAGTATTTCAATATATTTGGAGGTTTTGTTTCCTGACCTCCAGCTTGTTCTCACGAATTATAACGCCATTTTTTGGTATTCTTTCATTTGAATCAGATATCCAATCGGGAAATGTTTAGGAATTAGTCAAGATAGTGATAGAGCTTAGTCAACCGGTTCCAATCTTTCTATATATAATCCCACCAAAATGATAGTTATTTTGGAAATTTAGCTATAGTATATGTCCCATCCATATTTCATTTTAAATGAAATTAGCATGATAACCATTCTAAATGACAAGACAATAGCATTATTATTGACGTTTTCTCATCAATCTACGGGGTCTCCTGAACTTGGTCATCAATCAACATATGATTAAGGAGTTGTCAAGCAAGTCCAAAGTGATTATCAACTCTCCGTCTCCTCCATGTTTGTTCAGTGCACTTAAGATATTTGGTGCTTCTCGCATATTCACCCATGCATGAAAGTTTGGTCAATATCAAATTTTTAGAAAGAGAAAATCCAATGATGGGACATGTAATATATCACATCTTGGTGTACAAGGGAGGGCCTCTAATGCATCCATGTTACCTTTTGCTTTAATTAGGTCGTCATTTGGTTAGTTTGCGCTTTTACTTTGCTTTGGAATCCAGAAGAGAACATACATAGGTTAAATCTCAGTCAATCATTCATTTCAAGTTCAAACCTGTAAATCTGGTCTAATAAATTGCTTCATAGCCATTCCTTTTCTTACGCCGCTTAGCCAAAAAACTTATTAATTGTTCTACCCAAAAAACTCATTAATGTCATAATTCAAGTGAGATGTTGTTCAAATTCAGATCAGCAACATCTTAAAAGAAAACTTATCCACTGTAGTAATTATGTTCGTTGCGGAGAGGTCTCAAACATGGCATTCATGGATAAATAAGTTTGAATAGAAGGTTTATGATGCTTAACGCAATACTGACCTGTGGGCATAGTAAATCTTTGTTAACATCACATCACATATACAAGCAAATATTATGTTTGTAATCCTATTTAGTGTAAGCTTATGATTTGCACTGGTTTAGAATGCATACCTTCTTGGTGGAACAGATAATCTAACAATTTGATAAACAATTACATGGAAGAGTTACCATGTACATACTATTAGTATATTACATATCTGTATTCATTCTTCACGATGAACTTTTAGGATTGAAGTTGGGAAATGAATTTATGGAGGTCCTGAAAGATTATTTCAATACAATAGAAAAGAAAATAATGCTACAAAATTTATATAACTGCAGAAGAGGGAGATTTTGTTCAGGGAAAGGTGACCTGATACTTATTGTCTTTCTAGGTAAAGTAGATTCCCTGAAGTAATATTGGTATCGCTGGTGTGGTACAGGCTAGGACGAAGGCATGATCCGAATACGCATATGTAGCCTTAAACAAACCTAGAATGCGAATCATATTGCAATACTGACGTGCAATACGATGCAAATGTAGCCACACTGATGCAATAACCTTAAAATACTTGCACACATGACAACAACAGTAAAAGTAGTGCACTATACATTTCTACCTTTGTTCGTAAATTTATACATGTAGGCATTGTTTCTTTGTGGTAATATTACTGAATGTATAAATTTGCATTTGATAGAAGTTAATATTTCATACATTTCAATGCATATATAGCAGATTCTAAGGGCGCTAATGACTTCCTATTGTTGAATATTTGAGATCTGTGAATATTTCTTCTGTTACGTTGGGCTATAAAGAGCATATGGTATTTCTTGTGGTTTAGAGGAACAGGAAAAGGAGTGTAGTCAAACCTTCTCAATTTTTGACGCAATCCAACTGTTCAATTGAGGTCATAATCACACATCTAGTGTAGGATGCTACTTGTTATATAATCCAACTGCTCAATTGTTGGTTTCTCTTCGAAATAAACATTTATTAAATACAAGGCATTCACTAGCAGGAAATGTAGAATAATGGAGGTAGCACTTGTTAGTTTCAATATCTTCAAGCTAGTATTATCGCTGATTTCATGTTGTAATTATTCACATGGTCTTCCATCAAATGTGATAGATGGATAATATTTGAGTTCGTGGACTTACAGTACACCAGATGTTCCTTATGATAAGGGATATTGAACTATCTACATTCACTTGGTTTGTGACTGAAGTGGCTATTAGGAATCTTGCATTAATAAAATGTCATAATGTCTTGTTTACACGTTGTAGATATGAAGCCTTGTGAAGTCAATAAGTGATTGTTCCTTGTCAATTAGGTTACTTGGACATTCATCTAAGCTCCCCATATCCTCTGTATCCATGTCCGACACACCTTGGACACTTCGTGAATATGTACATACATTTTTAGACGTATACTCAATTATATAACACTGCTTTAATTCAAAATACTTGTGATACACTCCTTGAATGTATATCGTACACTTCAACTTAAATTATCCAATTCATTGAAATCGGGACAAGTTCGTTTTAGTACGATTTTGAAGGGGCGTTTGGGTATCTAGTTCAAAAATGAGTAGTTTTTCAATTTTTAATCTGCTTTTTAAAAGAAAAATGAAAATGATATAAGGATTTTAGTTCTCATAACATGTGAATGAAAAACAATTTCGATCTCATGTAAGTTATTAAATTTAATATGTATGTGTATAGCCGGGTCCGCATATCCTAACTTTTACAATGTTGTTGTGTATCTATCGGATCTGCACTAGTGTCTGTGTCCGCCCCCTGCACCCGTATCCATGTAACATGGCTTGCCAATAAGTGGTTTTTCCTTCTATGACTTCTACCCACGTCAAGGTTCTCAGAGAATATATATTGGCATGCTCCTCTTTTAGTTTGATTTCACGGAGAGTTACATGTGAAAGATCATGAGAGAGGGAGGCATGATAAGAAAATAACCATAGAGGGTTTGAACAGGGTAATGGCAACTAATTTGAACAATTTGAAATGTAGTACCACAAGCTATACATGATGAAATGATAGATTTATGACTATGTACATAGATATATAAAAGTCGTAAATATGTAAAATAGTTGAATTGGTCATGTAATTTGAGAAATTTTCAACATCCAGGATCTTTTATCAATCCATACAAGATCATAACAAGTTTATCAAGTAAATTCTAACATGACTAATCAAGAAACTGAGTTGATAACTTATGGCATCTCTCTTTAGATATGCTTGTGCTTTAGCTTTGCTAGAAGCATGGTGTTGCATTTGTTTGATTAATCTTTTTGTCTTAGCTTGCTGGCTTGCTTGCTTGTTTGTTTGTATTTTTCATGCTTTTTTTTCGTTTTTGAGAGAGAGGGAGAGAAAATCTTCATGTCTTTGTTGAAAATGAATTTCAATTATGTCTCAAAAGTTTTATATATGCATGCTCTCTTAACTATAAATAAGTCAATGCGTGCAGTTGTTAACATTGCACGGGGAATAAAAACGCATTTTGTTGCATCTGGCTTACAGGTTTAATTGGAGGGGAAAAAAATGTCTGACCCAAAGGACACTGATGTAAAGGAACAAGTGCAGGCCGAGGAAACTCTACATGATAAGACCGCTGCAGATGTACCTGAGAACCCAGAAAACATGGGCCATAATGAGGAGAATCCCATGCCCTCTCCTGAAGAGGAGGTGATATTTCTTTTCTTTGATTTCAGGACTTATTATCTATTACCAGACACAATCTGCATAAAACTGTAGTTTTATATTTGGGTTCAACATCCATATTTATTGATTTTGATTTAATTCCAATTCATGGATGTTTTTATATGTTAACCCTTTCTTTTCAGGAGGCAGCACTCAAGAAAAAGTACGGAGGAATGCTACCTAAAAAGCCTCCACTTATATCCAAGGTAAGGGCCTTTACTTTCCATTGTCAACATACTTAATTCATTACTGCTATGTGTTTTTTTATGTCTTAGAAATATATCAAGAAATAACTTAAAAGCTGCATTTGTTTTTTCAGGACCATGAACGCGCTTTCTTTGATTCTGCTGATTGGGCTTTAGGCAAGGTATATTTAAAATCTCTATTACTAATGACGTGGTCTTCTATGATGATATTGTTAGGCTTTCTGGTGATGTTCTGTCTTAATTGATTGTTCGACTTGTTCATGCACAGCAAGGTGCACAGGCTGAAAAGCCCAAAGGACCACTGGAAGCGCTTCGACCAAAGCTGCAGGTACAAGAATCCCCATCTGTCCTTGTCATAATTTATACATATGAGCTGTAAAAATTTATTAGTATGGTCTTCGCCTGATAAACTTTGAATCAAATTATTTTCATGATTTATTCTTGCTGACATCAAACTCTTCATTTCAATTTAGCCGACACACCAGCAAACACGCTCACGTAGGTCAGCATATGCTTCTGCTGAAAGTGAAGGTACCACAGATGATCCCGATCGTCTCCTCATTTGAACTTATCGATATCAGCAAGATTTTAATCATCTCTTTATACACTCTTTTAGATGGAGGCAATACTCCTGAGGATGCGAACAACAACCAGTGATTTCCACAGCAAACTGCCTTCCATTCTGAGAGCTTCTTATTTCTGTTAGCTCGTCACTTTTATTCTGTAGGGTGGAAGATTGTATTGCGTGAGAGCATTTGTGGCTTCCATGAATAATTGATACGTTAGAGAAGAAACCATGGCTGCTGCAGCTGAGTCAGGGTTGTGGCTTCTGAAATCTCTTCACCAGTGGCCTATTCCTTCATAAACCTGGACGTATCAGTCATCTTATGGAGTTAATACTACTACTACTACTACTACTACACAAATTGACTTGTCCATCTTGAAGATATTTGTGGGGCTACTTCCGGGTTGCTATCGTGTAAGCTGTGCATTGTTTGCTATGAGTTCATACTAAGCTCCTTTTGGTTATGAAGTAGCGTTACGTATATAGAATTTATCTGCAACTGCGTAAACTCGAAGCCTACCAGTGAAACATGAATTCAGGTCTATTGAGAATCAGGAACAAGTTGTTCTTTTATAGGCATCAAGGATAATTAAGGTTTGCCTTAACGACATGTTCATGTAGATTTCGTTATTAACCCTTGATGCGAGGTAAATTCATGAGGGTGTGGGATTATTTTAGGATCAATTCCAAGATCGAGAACAAACGAATGTAAAAAAAAAAAATAAAAAAAATCGACTGAGCTAAAGAAGAAATCACGATTAAAGTCGTCAAAAGCTACGATGCGCAGCAGGTTATAATTAGCTTGAAAAGGTCGCAAAACGGAGAAAGGAAAACCACCAGAAGGATTAGGGGTTTGATCATTTTTAATAGTTTCGAAACAGTAGAACGTATCTTCTTTTTGTATTGGAGCACAAACGTGCGTGTGCCTACTTCCACCTTTCGAGGTCAAAAATATATCCAAAGAGTGGCGGCTTATAAAGGCTAATCTAGTATTAGCTTAATCCGTACTAGTTCTCGACTTAAGCAAACTTTGCACAATCATGTCCTATTTATTGGTAAACACTTGTCGACAAAACTTTAGTTAAGTCCTGTCCTATTCTGATCGTTTTGCCGAGCTAGGACTAACATTAGCAGGATTTTGATCGATCTACAATCTCAGAGGACAGTTGCACCCCTAAAGTTATGTAAAATTACACTATATAATATTGTAAATTTGCAGTTCGCCCCTATAACTAAAAAACAACTGCACCGTGCTTGAGTTTCAGCCTATTTAAGTAAACCATTAGTAAATAATGTTTTTTTTATAATAAATTTTTTAAAAAAAATAATAAAGTCTACTGAACGATCTCTTTCCCCCAATCTATATTCCATCACTATTTTACATAGCACTAATGCGTTACGGTCGCCCTGTTTGAAAATTTTTGAAAGCAAATAAAATATAAAACTTTACTAGCGCACGCTGTTCTCCCATCAGAGGAAGCAAAAGGCAGCCAGCCAATGAGCAGACAACAACAGGACGGACGCCAATTAAAATCATTCGATGTAGGATTACATGTGTTGCGAAATTATCCAAAGAATCTTTTTAAAAGCCGAGCGCGAACGGATCAGCCTCAGCCCCCAATGGGAAACTTACTGCCAAAGAAAAGCCACGTCTTTGCTCCACAGATTCGTTCGATTTTATTCTGTGGAAACTAAAAGAAAAAAAAATGCCTTGACCTTTTTTTGTCTGATGAATTATTACTAGGCCCATTACGGCCCTCCGCATTGTACTTTTGTGTCTCTCCCTACATGTTTGCTATATCCACTCCCAAACAGTAATTTTGGGAGTTGGATTGCCGAAAATGCCCTTTTGATGTTGAGGGTGTTTCTGGAATGGACTTGGCCTGTTTTGGTTTGGGAGAAGGGCAATTTAGTCCTCACACACCCCCAAAGTTACTGTTTGGGAGTGTGAATAGTTGGACCCCTCTGCCTCTCGTCATCCGGAAATAGCAGCCTTCTCTTTAACTAAGTACATGTTTAGCTCAGAGTGCACTTGCGAATGTTACTTTGTTTGGTTGGTGAGCTTTTGAGCCTTTGATAAAATCATAGGCCTACAATATCACAAAGTTATATTATGCTACAGAAAAAAAGGGTAGGCTCTTCTAACGTCCTCTGAGCTCACTTGGCAGGTATTTTGCACTAAACTCCTATCAACTTTCAAAACTATACCAAACTCCCGTTAGTTTTTTCTGTTTTGCAGAAAATCCTCAATAAGTTTCTGTGCGTTTTGCAGGTAACCCCCCATAAATTAGAACCGGAAAACGACATAAAAATATGTTTTGAAAGTTAACGGGGGTTTAGTAATTAATTTGCTCAAAAAAAATATAGGGGAGGTTTTAATTCTGCAAAAGCTACTGAGGCGGTTTTCATAAGGGCTTACCGCAAAACCCACGCTGATTTAGTGTAATTTTTACCACCAATTTAATCGCATGCGCAATTGATCGAGGATTTAGTTTTGGAGATCTACAGCTGCTGCTCTTCCTTTAAAACTATCAAATAGTACGTAGCACGAACCAAAAATCAACTAAATTTACAGCCAAAAACGGATTAGATTGAGAGAGAGGCTGTTAACCTAACTCCTAATCCTTACTCTGCTCACCGTCCGGGACCCAGAAACTGGACACCTGCCAACAGTCCAATCACTCTAAATCTCCACCAAACTTTAATATCTTCTCACTTTTTTACAAACTTAACCGATCTCAATTATTTCCCCTCACAAATATCAATGACTAGGCCCTCTATATAAACCCCGCATCCATCTCCACAAACTCCCACATAACTCATCAAATGTACGCAACCCCCCCAACCCCAAGACTCTACTCCTCCGAAACTAAAGATGGACTCCTACAACAACACCGACAAAAACCTCACCAAGCCTCCCACCAGTTCTAAGAAACTACCCATCTCAATCTTCGTCATCTCTCTCCCCCTCCTCTACGTCTCCCTCCTTAACGTACCCCTCTCCTCCCTCTTTAAAGACACGGCCTTCTTGTTCCTCGTCTCCAACTCCATCATCATCGTTGTCGCCGCTGAATCCGGCGTCTTCGCCTCCTCCTCATCCTCGACCAGCAGTAACGATGCTCTCTACGATGATTACGTCAGGCACGTACCGAAAGCGAGAAGTGCGTACTCGAACCCAATACCTCAAACGTCGAACATGGCCGGAGAGGAAGAAGAAATACCGAAGCATGTTGTTCGAGAATCGAGCAATGCTCGTGAGGAGGGAGAAAGCTCAAAAGAAATAAGACTAGACTCGGAGCCGGAGGCAGAACCAGCTGAGCAAAAGCAGGAGCCGGTGTCTGATGAGCCGGAGCCGGAACTTGAACTAGAGATCACAGAGGTTGCGCCGGAGAGACCAAAGTACGAGAGGAGGTGGTCAGAACTGTCTCTCACGAAGACCGAGATGTCGAAGGACTTGCTTCCTAGGGCGAACACGATGACGGAGAAGAGGAGTTGTGCGATGGAGGAGAATGATTACGTGAGGATGAGCGATGAGGAGCTTAACGAGAGAGTGGAGGACTTCATTAGGAGGTTTAATAGAGAGATTAGGCTTCAGGAGAGGATGAGTAGTGCTGTATTTTAGGCATTGATTCAGTTTAGAAACTTAATGCATGTTGTAATTAGCAGAGTTTACCTGTTCAGCCTTCTTTAACTTGCTGCTGTCTGTGAATATTTTTGCTTTTGCCTTTATTCCTACAATTTGCTTAATAATTAAGTTTTCTCAATATGAAATCAAAGTATCCTATTCTCATAGCTAGAGATAAGGAGGATCATCGTGTAAACATGGGATTTTTACATATACGAAAAGAATATTTAAATTAATAGAATTCATACGTGACATTCTATTTGTAGGTGCGTCTATCTTTTTCTTGAGAAAAAAAGGGGCTGAGCCTAATACTTCCTTAATTAAGTACATGTTTAGTTCAGTGTGCACTTGCGAATATTTATTTCTATCTTTTGGATATAGTAATTAATAGGATAGGTCTAGTCGAAAATGTCGAGTCACCCTTTGCATAATGTGGTTTTGCTAATTAATGCTTTTAGTCAATCTCTTAAATCGTAATAATCTCACCTCAATTTCTCTATCTTTTGATGCAACTTTAATAGATGGTCGAGTTACATATTTATATCATATATAGATTTAGCTATAGGCAGAAATTACAGTAGTATTCACACTTCACCAACAATAAATTAAAGTGATGTTAGGGACCAAATCCTCCTCTTAATAGATTCTTGTTCTTTATTGTGTCTTTGGGCACTGTTAACATATTTTAGGAATCTGTTTAAGATCTATGGATGTTTTTGACCTTTGAAAAAAGGGTTAATTTCACAAAACTCCCTAAAACTTTGGAGATTTTTTCAAATAACCCCTTAAACTCTTTTCCCCCACAACTCCCCTGAAATTTGTGTCTCTCAAAACTCTTCTCTAGTTTAAGCTTTTGTAAGATGTCCTTGAGAGAAGGAAAAAAAATCCGTGATAT